GTTCCTCTTTTAAATCTGTAACTTTTTGCTCTCCCCAGGGCTTCATCCCCTTTTCACCCAGACAAAAAACAAGGTTTGTTCAATGGATAGGGGCCGCATAAAATAAAAACACATTTGTAAAAACAATACCACATAACGACATAATGCATACACGCATCTTGCATACACAGTCATACACACTCCGAATATACACGTACACGTACACTTTTACATATACCCATACATATACAAACACCATCACATTCATACACATGTACATACACACACTCAAATATGTAATACTCATATACGAATACATACTCTCATGCTCATAAGGATAAATACAATACCTAACATATATGCTTACAAACGCATGTTCTCAATCTCATACACACTCATACACACCTGCACAAACTCCTTTATACACACATGCACTCATACATACATACACAATACCAGTGCATTCCACATACACACACATTGCAATCATATGCACACATATACTGATATATTTATAACACCATTCATTCAGACAGACACCCACACTAATATATCCACATGCATAGACTCGTGCATGCAAACGCATTCACAAATACTCAAACATACTCACACCTGAATACATGTCCATGCTTACACTGACATTTGTATAACCTCCAGACACCAGTAAATACAGGCACTCACACACAAACACCTAGATTTACATAAGCTCCTTTTCATACAGTTACCCGTACGAAAACAAATCCTTAAACACCTACATACCCATATAATCTCATACATACCCGAGAACTTATTTACACAAAACATAAGCATGTAACCATAAACAAACATTTAAACAGACCCAGATACCCGCACAGACTCATACCAATCCATAACACACAAACATCCTTAAATACACAATAAAGTAATCATAAAGTCACCTTTAAAACATGCATACTTACACTAACTAACACATATACTCTAACACCCAAACATGGACATGCACCCAGTCATACACTATCATCCATCTATACACAGTCACCAGTGCATACAGACAAACAGACAGCTAGACATACAGACAGATAGACAGACAGATAGATAGGTAGACAGACAGACAGACAGACAGACAGACAGACAGACAGACAGACAGACAGACAGACAGACAGATAGATAGATAGATAGATAGATAGATAGATAGATAGATAGATAGATAGATAGATAGATAGATAGATAGATAGATAGATAGATAGATAGATAGATAGATAGATAGATAGATAGATAGATAGATAGATAGAATGAACGAACGAACAAACTGTTTTTTCAAAGGGTTAAGAATTGGGCACACACGCCCGTCTTACATTCTGCCCTTCTGGCTTCACGCCATGCATACATTATTTATGCACACATTGTTTTAGAAGATAGTAATAATAATAATATTAATAATAATAATAATAATAATAATGATAATTACAGGCATCATCAATAACATGTTTGTAACAATGTACTCTAAGTATGCCTACATTTTAAAACAATTATAATACTAAAAATAATAAATCTTGGTGGAAATCAACATTGTTCTTAGGAAACTTTATCTTCTAAGGGGGCATGCAGTCTGAAGTGAGATAATTTCAAAAAGCTTCACCAAGATAGATAGATAGATAGATAGATAGATAGATAGATAGATAGATAGATAGATAGATAGATAGATAGATAGATAGATAGATAGATAGATAGATAGATAGATAGATAGATAGATAGATAGATAGATAGATAGATAGATAGATAGATAGATAGATAGATAGATAGATAGATAGATAGATAGATAGATAGATAGATAGATAGATAGATAGATTAGATAGATAGATAGATAGATAGATAAGATAGATAGATAGATAGATAGATAGATAGATAGATAGATAGATAGATAGATAGATAGATAGATAGATAGATAGATAGATAGATAGATAGATAGATAGATAGATAGATAGATAGATAGATAGATAGATAGATAGATAGATAGATAGATAGATAGATAGATAGATAGATAGATAGATAGATAGATAGATAGATAGATAGATTGATAGATAGATAGATAGATAGATAGATAGATAAAGATTAGTTAGATGGCCTTCTACAATTTGGGTTGAAAAGTTATAGAAATGAAAAATATGTGAAGTCTGTTCTTGAATGGATAGGGAAATAGAATCAAAATGCCAACTAGCCAGTGCACTTATATAACACTGCTATTAAGACATCCAAACATAAGTATACAGCATCAAGAAACATATTATAAACAGCAAATGTCGCATATTCATAGCAAACTGTGCTACCAGTGTCAGACTTCGACATTATCAAAGGCTAACCTAAGTAAAATCAACACATGTGAAATTAGATGAGTGAGAAAAGCCGCTGACTTGACTAATCAACTTATCGATTCAAGGCAATGTTAGACTTGATATTATTAGACAGTAACACTATGCCGCTAATTAAATAAGAAACGGAAGATCAAATGTGGAAATTGATGATGATGATGATAATATCAGTATAAATTGAAATCTAAGAATAATTTAGGGACATATCCCTCACAGACATCCTCTGTTTCACCAGCTGCCCAATTGATGGCCGGCATGGATTTTACGGCTGACCCTTGCGAGGATTTTTTTCAATTTGCCTGTGGTCAGTGGAATAAGAAACATACGATACCAGAAGACAAGGCAACATATAACACGTTTGATAAGTTACACGACGAGCTGCAGGCAATAATGAAAGGTGGGTTACGTAACACCTGCCTATCCACGTACATGATGTAGAGTTAACATTGTACACTGTGTGTGTGTGTGTTTCCGTGTGTATACGCGTGTGTGTGTGTGAGAGGGGGGGTGTGGGTGGGTGGGTGTGTCCATTACTCATTCTCTTCCTATATTTTTTCTGAACATGCGCTGGTCAGAATGTGCGTGTGTGTGTGTGTGTGTACGTGTGTGTGTGTGTGTGTACGTGTGTATGTGTGTGTGTGTGTGTGTTTTCACTAGTTCTTCTTCGTCTTCTTCTGCTTCTTCTTTTCTTTTTCTTCTTCTTCTTCCTGTTTTTCTTCTTATTCGTCGTCGTCTTCTTCTTTTTCTTCTTTTTCTTCTTCTTCTTCTCCTTCTTCTTCTTCTTCTTCTTCTTCTTCTTCTTCTTCTTTCTTCTTCCTTCTTCTTTTCTTCGTCTTCTTCTTCTTCTTCTTCCCTTCTCTTCTTCTTCTTCTTCTTCTTCTTCTTCTTCTTCTTCTTCTTCTTCTTTCTTTTTCTTCTTCTTCTTCTTCTTCTTCTTCTTCTTCTTCTTCTTCTTTCTTCTTCTTCTTCTTCTTCTTCTTCTTCTTCTTCTTCTTCTTCTTCTTCTTCTTTTCTTCTTCTTCTTCTTCTTCTTCTCTGATCTTCTTCTTCTTCTTCTTCTTCTTCTCTTCTTCTTTTCTTCTTCTTCTTCTTCTTCTTCTTCTTCTTCTTCTTCTTCTTCTTCTTCTTCTTCTTCTTCTTCTTCTTCTTCTTCTTCTTCTTCTTCTTCTTCTTCTCTTCTTCTTCTTCTTCTTCTTCTTCTTCTTCTTCTCTTCTTCTTCTTCTTCTTCTTCTTCTTTTCTTCTTCTTCTTCTTCTTCTTCTTCTTCTTCTTCTTCTTCTTCTTTTTCTTCTTCTTCTTTCTTCTTCTTCTTCTTCTTCTTTCTTCTTCTTCTTCTTCTTCTTCTTCTTCTTCTTCTTCTTCTTCTCTTCTTCTTCTTCTTCTTCTTCTTCTTCTTCTTCTTCTTCTTCTTCTTCTTCTTCTTCTTCTTTTCTTCTTCCTTTCTTCTTCTTCTTCTTCTTCTTCTTCTTCTTCTTCTTCTTTCTTCTTCTTTCTTCTTCCTTCTTCTTCTTCTTCGTTTCTGCTTCTTCTTCTTCTTCTTTCTTCTTCGCTTCTTCTTTTCTTCTTCTTTCTTCTTCTTCTTCTTCTTCTTATTCTTCTTCTTCTTCTTCTTCTTTCTTCTTCTTTTCTTCTTCTTCTTCTTCTTCTTCTTCTTTTCTTCCTTCCTTCTTCTTCTTCTTCTTTTCTTCTTCTTCTTCTTCTTCTTCTTCTTCTTCTTCTTCTTCTTCTCTTCTTCTTCTTCCCTTCTTCTTCTTCTTCTTCTTCTTCTTCTTCTTCTTCTTCTTCTTCTTCTTCTCCTCCTCCTACAAATCACCTTGCTCATTCACCATTTTCCAACGAATATTCCTAAAGCGTTATAAAACTGTTACCTGGTAACAATTACTATAACCACACACACACTCACACACACATACACACACACACACGTATGTGATTTTTGCAAATGGCTGTAGTGGCTGCTGCAGCGTTGGACTGAGCACCTATCGGAATTTCGAACGTGCAGGTGCGCAGACAATGATACCAAAACCGATTAAACCTATTAGGGTTACCATTTACCAGTATGATATGGGGTGTATGCAGTTTAACTGAATTACATCATATGTTATAAACTTTAGATCATTAACAGTGTGCATGGGAATTTTCATAACTTTCCGTATTGTTTTACACATAATATCGTGTCTAGAGGCAAAGAAGCCTCTTGGGTCAAACATTTGAATAAACTTAGGGTATGTTTCCGTGGGTTGTTTAGTATTCCTCGTCTGTACTATTGGTAAGAAACGACCCACTTTGTTTTGAAAAGTGTAAATTAAACTTGAAAATCAGTCGCGCTTTTTGTGAACTGTTACTTAGAGACTTCTTGAAATGCGTTATAGAAATAGAAAAAAAAAAATCATGCAGATTTTTATAAGGCAAATGTTATGAACCTTATGAACATTAATAGCGCGCTCAGTGAAAGTAATTAAAGCAGCCTCCCTCTCTTGTCTGTTGTCTGGAATAATTTCGACAAAACTGACTACAGGCTTCTGTGTTAGTGTTGTGTGTATTTCCTTGTCCTTTTATCTAGGTCTACTGGAGGAGCCGAGGACGGATGCAGACAGTAATGCAACTCTGAAGGCTAAGGTGTTATACAAGTCATGTATTAACGTTAGTAAGTACAGCTGATTTTGAATTGGGTTTCGTGGTAGTGCAGTTTCCTTTTTTTTTTTAGCACCATTGCATTAGCTGCTTCGATGTACAATCCTTTCACGTTATGGGTAAGAATATTATTTCAGTAGATATTTTTATTTATTTAGAGAGATTGTACGTTAATTTAATGCAGCAAAAGAGGTATGGCTAAGTAATAAGTGCAAAGAAATTAAAGAACACCTGTTTTAGAAAATATATAGCAAGTAATTGCTTGAAGAAAAAAAAAGGTGAAATAATAATGGACAAAGAAAATCTCTCTGTGTAAAACTAAGGATAAAGCTGAAGAAACTAAAAAGGGCTCCAAGAAATACCAAACTAGATTTGGCAATGCTTGAATCAAATCAATAAATGAGTCAGAGATACGCCATTACTGTTTAAAATAATTACAGTGCTATTGAAAAGATAAGCAGTATCGAGGAACAGTGGCAAATGCTAAAAGAGTTTCTACAGCAGGCACAAAGAGGTAAAGAAGATGGCGAAGAAAAAAAAGTGGATGACTAAGGTAATTTTTACATCTAAAAAAATTAAAATAAAAAAAACACAAAACCAAGATGAATATGCACGAATACATGGAGAAATTGTGCATACATTGCAGCGAAAGAAGTATGGCTACATAATAAGTGCAAAGAAATGGAAAAAAAAAAAATAGAGAGAACACGCAAGACATGTATAACAGAACACAAGAACTGTCAGGTTTTAGAAAATACAGCAAGTAAATGCTGCAAAAAAGAAGGTGAAAAATTAACACAACAAAAGAGAAGGTAATTGAACGATGGACAGTGTAAATAAAATATCTATACGATGATAACAGCAGACCAGACATAAAGAGTCATAAAATGACCTCTAATACTGAAAGCGGAAGTGGACGATGCTATAAACCACACACAGAAATGTAAATCTTCATAGTCTGTTAGCATCAGGATTGAAGAATTCAAAACTGTCGGATTGAGAAGTTGTGACAAAATCTTTCATTATTTATAACAGTGGACACGTACCTGATGATTTTTTGAAATCTCTTTTCATACTTTTACCAAAAACACCTGGTTCAGTGGATTGTGCAGAAGATCCAACAATTTCTTCTTTGCGCTCGGTTACGTATGCTCAGATCAGACCATCGGGTGGTTGCCTCTATGAAATCGCATGTCGGAAGCAGGCTCTTCGTGGTCCCCCATAGTTTGCGCTACACACTTTGCTCTTGAGACCAGGTGTCTTTTCGGAGTTGTAGGTAGAGTGAGCAGGTCTGCAGAATGTGCTGAGGTATTTGTGGTCCTGTTTGACAGGCACACTGTGGGGACTGTACAATCTTTATTTTATGCATATGATAGTTGAGCCTGCAGTGTCCTGTTCGTAGACTCCCAAACAAATTGTATGTTGCTTTCTGATGAGTCTGCTGATCGGGTCTTGTGGATGTTTACTGTTAGTTTGTTCTCTCCACAAATCCTTGTATTTTACTTTCATAAGTGTTCTGATTTCTAGTAATGACAATGAATGGGCGTGTTGTTTCTTTATTGTTCCATTTTTTGCAAGTCTTCTAACCAATTATGTGGAATGCTGCAGTGAACTGGGATCCACTGGAGAACGATTTGATAGTTTCGTTGTGAGTCTGTTTAGCTGCCGGGGCAGTTCTCTCTCCATGTTGTCAAGTGGATCCCTCTGAGTTGCCTGGAATACAGTTAATATAATGAGTCATATAACTAAAATATTATGGAAGAATTATCATGAGGAGACAAAGGTGCAAAATTAAACCAGAAATTTGAAAAGAGCTGTGTCGTTTTGTTGAAGGTAAAGGCACAAACAACGCCATGTTTATCTTGATAAAGACTTTCCGAGATAATGACTGACATGAATCGAGATCTGTATTTATGCTTTCCTGATTATACTAAAGCATTTAGCAAAGTGAAACATGAAGAATTTATTATAAGTTTTGAAACCTAAAACACTGATAGTAATAGATCTGATAATAATAAAAAAAAAAAAAAAAAACATACTGACAACAAGTTGCAGCCATAAGGATTGACAACCAGGTTGGAACTTTTCAAAACATTAAACAAGGCGTTTGACAGAGTTGGGTATTTATTCAATTTGTACGGTTTGCATAATTTGTACAATTCGATTTTTTTTTAATTTGTATAGTGAAATAATAATTAGATCCATATATGGTATGCCAGAAACATCGGTTGGTGGGCATGTTGTTTATAACCTGCGATATGCTAACAATATAGTTTTGAAAATTAAACATAGCTGAATGAAATGATGGATATAATTGTAAGCAGTGGGAAAACGGTCTTAGCTTGAACAGCCAAAAATTCAGAAGCAATAGTAATTACAAAGAAAACTGGCCCTCTAAAATGCAATATCAAAGTAAAAGGGACAAACCTCAAGCAAGTTAATATATGTAAGTACTTGGGTACATTATATGGAAGATTTATTAGAGAAGTTAAATGTCAAATAGCTCAAGCAAAGGCAGCATTTTACAAACAGAAGAATATGTTATGCAATCTTTCTTTGTCAATTGAAACCAGAAAGAGAATTCTTAAAACCTATATAAATCCTATCGTAATATACGGAAGTGAATCATAGACAGTTGGTAAAATAGTGAAAACTTATTTGGAAGCTGCAGAGATGTGGCTTTATATTCGAATTATGAGAATACTCTGGACAGATTACAGGAGTAATGAAGACGTGTTGAAAGAAACCGACGCATGAAGAGAACTGACTGCCCACATCAGAAAGAGACAATGTACATTCTGTCCTCATGTAACGAGAAGAAGAAAACTGGAGTACATCCTGACAGCAGGAAAGTTAGAGGGCAGGAGAGGCAGAGGGAGACCGAGATAACAGATGCTGGACAGTTTGACAGCATGTCATGGAGAATCATCTGTGTCAAAGTTGACTGAAAGTACACGAGACAGAAGGTTGTTAATAAAAAAGACTACCAACGCCACACGGCATGGACTTTAAGAAAAAGAAGATATTTTCTTGTGCAACGTTTATATTATGGTAACGGCTCCTTTTGGAGTTAGTATTAACATGAAAGCGGGCTCCCAAGACAGGATCAAGGCACATTTACGACTATTTATTCATCACGATGATAGGCTGCAAACTTACTAGCAAATAACACGCATGTGAATATAACCGCATAATCGTTGTTGCCTGAGTCATTTTTCTGAGACGTTTTCCAGCCCAGATCGAAGCCACAGGCGATGCACCACTGAGAGCAGTTATCGCAGATCTGGGCGGATGGCCGGTGCTGACCGAACAGTGGTCTAGTCAACAGTTTGTCCTTGAAGATGTACTAGCAAAGATGCGTGGCAAGTACAGCACCCCACTGTTGTTTAAGTGTAGCGTGGGGGTCGACGACAAAAACTCTTCCGTGAACATCCTCCAGGTAAGCATGTATGTGGATTACTCTTGCTTGTGTCAATTATTCAATGTAATTAGAACTCACTAAGAATGCATTTATACAGTTTTAACTGAATTAAAATACATGCAATCTTGATAAATGCTGGTTTCCACAATTATCTCTATGTATTACCATTTTGTTTACATTGTTAATCAATCACAGTCTTTTTTATCTAATAGGCCATCAACTCTCATTTGACGATAACCAAGTAAAGTATATATGACAGTGGCTCCCAGCAGCCACTTCACATAATCCGACACCGTTAGAAAGCGCTAGTTCACAGCAGACTGCTTTAACATTCAATGTTTTAATCAAATAAACTGACAATGAATGCTAATTAATTTTAATATATCAAATACAATAATTCAATAAAAAAAGAACTGAGCAATAAATGTGAATTGTATATTTCTTGTTTGATTCTTTGAAGAGACAAACCAATTGGTCACATTACCGCGGTGTCATTACATGTCAAAGCCGACTAATAATTCAAAATTGCTAGTTAACCTCTTCCTTCATTCCTGAAACAGTAATAAATAACAGCAGAAACTATGTACAGCATGTGTGTGTTGAATGCAGTCTCCTCCGGAGATTACACTAACTGGCACATTGTCGCTGTATTTGTGAATGATCACGCCGGCTTAAATCAAGCACAGGTTAGTTTCAAAGAATATCAATTCAAAGACAGATGTGCGACTGTTCCTTTGCGTCACACAAGTGACCCTCTCCTTCGTTCATGCAGTAAAGCTGTCTATTTGTGTAAAGTACATACACGGTTTGCCAAGTTGCCTGTCAAAAACACGCATATTGTTGGCCTGCTTAGGAATAGTACCCTGTGAAATAAATGATTGTAAGCAGGCCAACAATATGCGTGTTTTTGACAGCCAACTTGGCAAACCGTGTATGTACTTACTGCCTAAGATCCATAAGCCCAACAACCCTGGACGTCCCATTGTATCTGCATGCTCCTATATGTGTAAAGTACATTTATCTTAATATAGTTACTTTAAATACTTTTGATATGGATATCACTAAAGACTTTTCAATTAGGTGATAAATGCTGGTTTCCACAATTATCTCTATGTATTACCATTTTGTTTACATTGTTAATCAATCACTGATTTTAAAACAATATGGAATTAATTAAGGGTTAAGTGAAATCGGTTCTGTTTCGCTAAATCAGCGCACTTACGCAGCCTAGCGGTAAACGACATCATTAAGCGCAAAGAGCTATTTTGCAAAAGCGAAAAGAAAAATGCAAGAAAAAATAAGTTTATTACAAGTGGATTGTTAAGTATTATGTTGTGTGTGTGTCAATGGCCCCTGAACTTAGGGTCTCCGATACCTTGAGCCCTACAATAATTGTTTAACGTTAGGCTGACCCTTATTCCAGTGTGCATGTAAGGATTAGTTTAAAGTTGAGAGTATCGACTTTATTGCAACGCTTTTATCCCATATATCGGTTTCCCTCTCTCCCTCTCTCTCTCTCTCTCCCTTTTTCCATCTTTCTCTCTCTCTCTCTCTCTCTCTCTCTCTCTCTCTCTCTCTCTCTCTCAACAGAACAGCTAGGCGCCTCTCAAAAGGGTTGCCCAACGAACATATTTAGTAGCTCTAGCAGCGATTCCCAAGGATCTTATTAAAAACTGCACTTTTGAACTGAACAACTCGTTGGTGAAACGCACCCATTACCTTCTGAACGAGAAGCAAATGGCTTGACCACGTCGTAACGGACACATATTACTATATTTATGCACAAAACTATCTTGCACGTGAGCTTATAATTTATGGAGTCACTTATGTCAGTCAGTAAGGCACCTGATCTAGATACACACACTTATATACGATACCAGTTACAGAAAACACAGTATTTCCATAGCTAATAAACAAAACAAAACAAAACATTTTTCATAATGGTGTTCTGAATGTTGACTGTAGGGTTCATGTATCGATGCTCAAGGGAGACTTACTAGTTTTAAGTGAAGCTACATAAAACAAAGTACAATTAAATATTACCATAGCAATTGAATTATATTCTGTATTAATTGACAATTAAAAGAAATGTTACTGATTCATAGCATAGTGAATCGTGAAAGGATAGTGGCTTTTGCGGATGATATACTTGCAATCATTGCATAGACAGTGGGAAAAAAGGGAACAAACACCACGTGAGCTAAAGAGACAGTAGACAAAGTGACTGAGTGGTGTACAGAAATGAGGGCTGTTGTTCACCCGGAAAAGGCGTCTGTTTGTGGTGTACTCTTGACAACAGAATCGTTAAACCTAAAGTCTAAAGTCCTACGATAGATGGTAAAAACGTCAACAGATTGAGCAAACTGAAGTATCTGGGAATTACATTTGACAGGAGCCTGTCCTTTAAGGACCATGTGGAGAGTGTTGTGACGAGATGCCAAAAAGGACTTAGTGCACTTAGGACTATGGCTGCAATTGACATAGAGCAGAGAATGCTTTTCACACTATATCAGCACCTGATCCTGTCAGTGGTTGATTATGGCCTGGGACTGCTTACCGTCTCAAAGAGTCAGATGGACAAACTAGAGCGCATCCAGAACGCGGCTATGCGGGTAATTCTGGGTTGCACCAGAGACACCCCAGTGGTGTGTATGCGATACATCCTTGGTTTGCCAACGGTTGCATGTAGGCACAAGGTGCTGCAGGCGAAGTCATATCTCAGGGTAGCTGTGTGTGGTGTCATAATCACGCCTAGCCAGGAATGCAGAGACTGGCCAGCAGATGCCACAGATGTGGAAAATCAGCAATTAATTCAAGATAATGCTCGCTCAGAGGATCTTTACACAGACGGTTCAGTGTCAAGAGGCAAAAGAAGTGCTTGGGGCAACTTACCAAAAGTTAATGGTCGACCTTTGGTGCAGGAGAGCCTAGCATATGATACCACAAAATCCAGCTTAAGAATGGAGGTGGAGGCGGTCACTGCAGCTTTCCGCTGGCTAGAGAACACGACACACACACACATACACACACACACATACACACACACACATACACACACACACACACACATCAAGATTGTAACTGATTCAGAAAGCATGCTGAGGAAGATCAGAACCGGCATGCTTCGTGCAGAGTGGCATGCTTCGCTGCGGAGGACACGGATGGGGAGTAGTGTCTGGATTTTTTTTTTTACCGGGGCACGGCGCTGTGTTGGGAAATGAACAGGCGGACAGGTTGGCTGGCTCTGCAGAACTTGGTGGAATACTGATACATGATAAGGCAGACGTGGCTAGTGCCTGATAGGAGATCGTGTATAGTTCAGAGGAGCAGAGGGATCACCACAGTCTGGTGAGATTGATGCAGGGGTGCGTGACGAGAGGTTCTGGCAGATGCTCGAGGCTCAGAGGAAAGACAAAACGGACGTTGAAGCAGAATGCTGCTAGCACCATTAGTATCGTAACTCTTCGCTGGCTGCTGAAGATGGGGACGGAACGCTTATGGGAATGCGCCGAGAGCTGTGATGTCGGTTCTTGAATCAAATCAAATCAATCAAATTAAATCATAGTGAATCGTAGTCGCTACACAACGACGTTTCGTTGGTTGGCTGTTGACACATTATTTCATAATTTTTATTTGACACAACTACATGGAATTTCATGAATTCTACGTGGCATTTTGTAATTTCCATTTGACGCATCTACATTGGATTTTGTAATTTCCATTTGACGCATCTACATTGAATTTTTTAATTTCCATTTGACGCATCTACATGGGATTTCATAATTTCCATTTAACGCATATACATGGGATTTAGTAATTTTCTTTTGACGCATCTACGTGGGATTTTGTAATTTCCATTTGACGCATCTACATTGGATTCATAATTCCCATTTAATGCATCTACATGATATTTAATAATTTTATATTCGACGCATCTACGTGGGTTTTTATATTTCCATATGACGCGACAGAATGGGATTTAATACTTTACATTTGATGCATCCTCATTGGATTTAATAATTTCCATTCGACGCGTCTACATGGGTTTTTATTATTTCCATTTGACGCGTCGAGGAGCAATTTTATATTTTTCATCTGAGCCTCTAAATGTGATTTTATATATCCATTTGAAGCAGCTACATTCAGCTGTGTAATTTCCACTGACGAGTCTACAAGCCATTTTGTAATTTCCATTGACGTTTTTGAATACATTTTTATCATTTAAATTTAACGTTATACACAAGTTTCTACATTTTTAGTTTAGGTCTTGGTGATTAACTTTAATAATTAAAACTTTTAATATTTTCAACAAGTCTACTTAACTCCTCGCGAGGTAACACAAATCTAATCATAAAATGACACATTTCGACCCATGCTCTAGCTGTTTCTAATAATGGAGAAAATAAAAATGAAATTAGTTAAAATTGAGTCCGTTTTGATATCGTCTTGAAAAAAAAATTTGAAAATTTCCTTTTTCTTTACAATGGCCTCGCATTTTTAACCGCATTCAGTCGGCTAGAAAGCAGAGTTTGTTCTGAGTTATAAGTCGGATTATTTTAACAGCAATCCGGACACATCCATAAATGCTCAAATTTCCCTCTCAACCTATTCATAGGCGTTGCCCGGCTAATAGTGCCAGTCCTATGCTGGTTGACAAGACTTCGTGTGCGTCTGGTGTCTTGCCGATCTTTACTCCCAATTCTCGTATTCTTAGCAGTGATGTGGACACGTTGCTTTCAAAACCCTCAGAACGTCCTATCTCTACGAATTCATTACACTGACAATGGATGCGTGATCCATGTGCCAGCCATCTTCAATTAATGCGGTACCTGCCTGTCGATTATGTCTTTCATTACCAACAACACCTCCATAACCTGGGACAAATATGAAGGTAACTGCACACAGGACAGTTTTGCAATGAATCAATCCACTGTCTGCAAAACCAGCCTGCCTTGACCTGCCAGATCATGCTTAAAGAATCACTCCTATAAATAATACTTTCTGTTACTTGATTAAAG